GGGTGGGCGTGAGTGTTTGCACGTGCGTGGGTTTGTGTGTATGTGTGCGGGGGGGAGGGGAGAAGGGGAAATAGGCAGGAAATGCGTGGGGGGGCCCCCGGTGAAGGTGTCAGGGGAAAGGACATACAGACATACATACGGACAAGGACGTGACAGGAATGTGAAGGAAGTGTAGGGAGGGAGTAGCTGTCGGGAAGGGGGGAGGTGCCCACACAGGCGCGAACAGTACGACTAATTTCAGGCGAGCGGTGGGTGGGTGGTGGAAAAGAGTGTATGTGTGTATGTGCTCACGAGAACAAGTAAAAGACGGGGCTGATAGACCGTACGGAACACGACGCCCCCACCCCAACCCCCAACCCCCGGGAGCCCCACATTCCATATCTCCCAATGTACGGCAACATTCTGCCTGACATGGCACCGCCAAGTGACACGTACCCAGCCTACCCCCGGTTCCCCTACCTCCCTACCTACCAAGCTAACCAACCCAACCACCTAGCCACCTAACCGTTCAACTAACCCCCACCTCTCAAGGGCAGCTAGATCCTAACTGAAACCCAACCACCTATCCAACTGCCTCACACAGCCCGCACTCACGGGGGGTGTCCACGGGCAGCCCCGCCCGCCGCCGGCTGCAGTCATGTCCGTACCAGCCCGCATGGCACCTGCAGAACCCCTGGTCACACTCCCCCCGACCCGAACACTGGTTCACACAGAACTGCTCCACGATGATGTTACACAGGGTGCCCACGCGGCCGTCAATCCTGGAGGAGGCGGGGGGAGGGGCCGATAGCGCCGGGGGGGGGGAAATACCCACCAGTGTGCAAACATGTGGTGTTTGGAATCATCTGAGCCGGATGTGTATGTGCGTGTATGTGTGTATGTATGTGTGTGTATGTGTATGTATGTGTGTATGTACGAGTGTGTAATGGAACTAAGTACAACCGGGTGTCGGCGGGGTGGGGCGGAGGGCGGTGCACTCGGGAGTGCCTCATGGGGGGGAGGGGGGTAGTGAGGGGGACCACAACGGACAGCCCCCCCCCTTCCCCACCTCACCTCACCTCCCCCTACCTCCGCCCCACCCACCCACTACGCGGAGGAGGCCCGCTCGCCCGTCTGGAGCGTCTTGAGGGGTTTCGTCACCCTCACCGACACCCCCATTCCTACCCACACACACACACATACACACACACACATACACAACCCGCGCAACCTTACCTGCATGGGCACATGAACGAGGGGACATCTCCATTGCACCAACCCTCCCGTCCGAATAAATTCTCGTACGTGACAGCGCCCCACAGAACTTTGTTGCCTTGCTCGTCCTGTTGTTGACGTACATGGACATGTACGTAAACACAAACCAGAAAACATTGCCGGGGTGAGGCATGTGACAACATGAGAGACTTGTCGGGCTGCGAAACAGCAAGTGCAGTACAACTGCAATTTACAATTTTGTTTGTTGTCATTCGTACAGTTCCTGCTTTCAACGTGTACGGCAAGGGGTGCCAAGTTCACGCACACACCGGGCAAGGCCGTACATTACTGCCCCGTTCAGCTGCCGGTCGTACAGCTTTCAGGATGAGTGAGGCTGGGGGGGAAGAGAGAGAGAGGGAAAGAGAGACCGAAGGCGGGGGGGTTATGGAAATCACGCCCCCCTCATCCCCCGCCCGGAGAAAGGCCAGCGCCCCGGGTATGGCCGACCCGCGTGCTGCCACCCCCGCCATCTGCCCCTCCTTCCCCGCCCGCTCATCAACACAAAAACATTCCGCAGTCCCACGGGTCACAAAAAGCCCGCGAGGTGAAGGTGAAGGTGGGGGGGGGCACAGAGGCATCCGGTGGCGGTGTACGGCACGGAGGGGGTTCGTGGTTGCCCCTAGTGCACTGACTGGCGGTAGTGCCGCAGAGGAGATGGCGCATTGTCGTACTCCCTCTCCCCCCCCCACACCGGTACGGCTGCTGTAGCGACTTAGCGGATGGAGGCGTGGGGGGGTGGGGTTGGAGTGCGTTGGGGGGTGGGGGGAGAGCGCCACACTCCGTCAGCGGCGGCGGCAGTGGCAGCGGCAGCAGCTGGTTCGGGCGGGGGGGGTCTTCCGG